ACTTAACTTGAGTATTTTTGCTTCTTCATTCTCAGAAGAGCCTCCCTCAGGTACACGTACTAAGTTTCCTTTTTCTAGTGTTGAAACCTTTGTCTTTGCTGACTTATGGGCTATTATGTTTGGAAGGGAATTTAGAGACGATCTTGCCTGATTGCTTTTTATAGATGAGGAAACCGAGGCCCAGAGAGGGAAATGGATTTGCCCAAGGTCACACAGTAAAGAAGAGCAGATGAAAACCTAGCTCTTGTTGAGTCTCAAGGCAGGGCTTTCGCCTTTAAAACTATTACCTCCAGGGCCACTAGTGTTGCACTGGATAGAGCACTGGCCTTGGAGTCAGGGGACCTACATTCAAATCTAGCCTCGGACACTTGACACTTACTAGCTGTGTGACCCTGAGCAAGTTACTTAACCCTAATTGCCTTGCAAAACAAAAACAAAAACAAAAAAAACCCCACAAAACCAAAACTATTGCCTTCTGTTCTTTCCCTCCCATGCCAAGAGCTGTCCTCTCTGTTCCCTTGATTTACTAGTATCCCTTCCTTCTCTGCCTGAATTCTTCAAGGTTAGAAGGACCCAGACTTTCACTTCTTCCCATGCCTCATTGTCTCTGAAATAAGCAATCTGAAACCTCAAGAGGTTTTCCAAGGATTTTCACTTTTACAAACAATAAGCAAAGTGATAAGAAAAAGGGTAAATTAGGAAGGGAGATTATAAGCTTGTAGGAGTTGGATTCCATGACCTTCATCGGTCTGTAAGGAGCCAGGCTCCCACATCTACTTCCATGATTCCTTTTTCCCAGTTTTATTTTGTTTGGGGAAAGTTAGACCCATGTTCATATCTCTGGGGCTGATGCTTATCAGTTTTCCCCAACCCTTGGCAAGATTTCCTTTCCCTGGATTGATTTTAGGAGTGAGACACTGGTGGCCTTAGGGGCTAATGGTTCACTTATATCCCAAAGAAAAGGTCCAGCTGGTCTCTCCATCTCAGTGACTATGCTGCTTCACACAGGGAGATTTGTCAGTCCTTCCAACCATCCTCTCTCAGGGGCCCAGAATCCCTTATGTAGTTTGATATGTAAAACAGAGTATTTTCAGTTATCCCCTTACCTGGGAGACCCAAGGCTCTCCAGATACCTCTCCTTCTTGCTTCTTGGAGGTATCTGTTCTCTCTCCAGATTCATTGGGTTTATGATTCATTTCTGCTTTCTCTCCTAAAAAAAAAAAATCTGCAAAGGAGATATAAGGCTTGCCACCTTCACCTCCACAGAGAGGAGCCTAAATGGGCATTTGGGAACTAGGAAATGAATCTTTAGAGAAAATGATTCAAGAACTTCCCCCTACCCCTGCACTTGACCCAAGAATGAAAGCTCTATAGAGGGCCGGGGGAGCCAAGCTGACTTTGCAGAAGAGCCTGTGTTAGGAATGGGAAGGAGGAGTGGTCCCTCCACTTCCTCAAAGGTTAAGTGACTTGTGTTTCACAATAAGGAAATGTTTGAGCATGATTTAGAACTCAGGTCTTCCTGTCCTGGGCCATTGCTTTAACCATTGCACCAGTTTTGTTGTTGTTCAGTCATTTTCCAGTCACCCCTGACTCTTCATGACCTCATTTGGGGTTTTCTTGGCAAAGACACTGGAGTGTTTTGCCATTTCCTTCTCCAGCTCATTTTACAGATGAGGAAACTGAGGCAAACCGGGTTAAGTGATTTGCCCAGAGTCATGCAGCCAGTAGGTGTCTGAGGCCAGATTTGAACTCACAAAGATGAGTCTTTCTGATTCCAGGCCCTGTATTCTATCCACTGTACCACCAAGCTGCCATCTTACCCTAAGAGAAAGTCTGCTGGAGCATCCTGTCACAGAGGCAGATTACTATACCATGACAGCTAGAAGGGACATTAGAGATCATCTAAGTCAGACTTCTCATTTTTCAGATCAGGAAACTAAGGCTTAGAGAAAGGAAATGACTTGCTCAAGTTGCCTGCCCTGCCATTCCTCTCACTACTAGATAGAGAGGAAGGTTCTTTAGGCTTCCAAATGCCCAAGGGGCTATAACCTATAATCTAAAACCTAGTCTATTATGTTCCGCTCCCCCCCCAAAAAAAAGGAAAATCACACAGTAGTCAACTCTGTCATCAAGCCTCTCTGTAGTAAACCAGTTGTTTCATCTATTCTTAAAGTATTTCTCTTTTAGGAGGACCTGTCAAAAAAAATTTTTTTTTCTTTCCCTACTGGACTAATCTTCAAGAGCCTCAGATCACCTCAATTCTGTGGTAAAGTATTAGAGGTGAACTTTAGGAAAGGAATGGTGATGATGAAAGCTTTCATTTATATAAAGGTTTCTGTTTCATGAACTGTTTCATAATATATTTTTAAAAAATTTGATTCATGTAAGAATTTGGACAATGGAGTCAGCAGGTGTGGATTCAAACCTCACCTTTGACAATTACTACTTGTATGACCATAGGCAAGTGATTTTACCTGCCAAAGGCTTGGTTTGTCCATTTTTACAATGACGGAATTGGTCTAGATCAGGAGTTGGCAAATTTGGACCACCATCCATTTTTGTACAGCCTAAGAATGGTTATTACATTTTAAAAAACACACACATATAAAAACCCTCCTTAGCCCAAGGGCCAAAATTTGCTGATCCCTGATCTAGAGGGCTTCTGAAGTCTTCTCCAGATCCGTATTTCTATCTTATGATTGTGTGAATGATCTCACAAAGCAGGGACTTTCCACAGTGCTTTTCAGAGGAAAAAGCCCCACTCAGATAAGCAATTTATCTAAGGTCACACAGCTTATAATTGGTGGAGGTTGGCCTCAGATTCATGTCACAGGCTGCTAAATTCATAGACTCAAACCTGGAAGAATCCTTAGAAGCTATCTACTCAAAAAAAGACTTGGAGAGGTACATGAATTGGCCTGGGTTATAGTTAGTATGTGTCTGAGGCAAACTCAGGTGTTCTTGACTCTAAGCCCAGGATTTTTTATTTTTGGAGACTGGGTGTCCCTACCTGGCACAAGCTATCCTTGTGAGGTGGTGTTGTGGAGTCATCCTGACTAGCATGGAAGCTTTAACTTGCACCATTATATCAAGCTTGGCCAGGTCATCCCTCCTTAGGCAGCCTGGGGATTTACCATATTGGTGCCAGTCTTAGTACATACACTTGAACGGTCAGTCAAGTGTAGACTAACTACAGCTCAGAGATCCACTCGCCTTCACCTCCCCAGCAGCAGGGACTACAGGAATGCACCCCCACCCCTGGCAAACCCAGTACCCTGGGCTCTGTGACACCTAATGTCTTTTGACTCCAGGTCCAGTATTCCCTCTGCTATATCATATTGCCTGAATACCTCTGCTGTTATTCAGTTATTTCAGCAGTGTCTGACTCTCTGTGACCCCATTTGGTGTTTTCTTGGCAAGGATATTAGAGTGGTTTGCTCACTTAGGGAATGGGGAATAGGGCTTGTATGACAGTTAGGGTTCAGAATCACTGAAGGATGGGGCAGGTATGACTAGGTGGGAGTATGCTAACCATTGAGGAATGAGTCTAGGCAGAGTCAGGTCCCGGAAAGGAAGACAGAGTATCAGGTCTGTACTGAAGGAGACAGGTGATCAGACTACTCACCACTCTGAACTTCCATTTCACCACTTGGAAAATGAGGGGAATGAATTAGATTGGTAGTTCCCAAACTGTGGGTTATGGAACCTCAGGGCTGGGAGGACAGCAAATACTGCAAAACATCATCTCATTAAGGAGATGGCCTAGGAGTCAGAAGACCTGGGTTCAAGTCTGGCCTCTGACATGTGCTGACTATGGGAGCCTGGGCAAGTCACCTAAGCTCTTGGTGTTTTGGGAAGTACCCTGCATGGGTAGAGGTAGTTTCTTTATCCTGGAATTCCAATGCCAATAAAATCACAGATCTAGCCACTATCCCTAAAAAACACCTATGCTTTCTATAGGTGGAGTAAATAATATGTCTCCAATATCTAGATAAACCTAGTGTCAGAGTTGGTTGTTTCATCATTGCAGTTGTGTTTGACTCTTCATGACTTCATCTGGGGATTTCTTGGCAAAGATACTGGAGTGGTTTGCCATTTCCTTCTTTAGCTCATTTTGAAGATGAAGAAACTGAGTCAGGATCTGCCACATTCCTCTGAGGATCACTATCATCAGCTATTTTTATAAGCACTCAAGTTCACCAAGCTCAAAATTTTTCAAAATGTTTAGAAAGTGCTGATATTCCCAGATCAACTGTAGGTAGTCTCACTCAGGATACCTTTTGTCTCAGGCAGTCTGTCAGATACTAGGCAATGGGTGCTCAACACAATTCATTCATTTTTTGGAAAAACTTGCATGAACTGATGCAAAGCAGAGTGAGCAGAACCAGTAGAACATTGTATCCAGTAAGAACAATATTATGTACAATGATCTGCTATGAATGTTAGCTATTCTCAGCAATGCTAAGATCCAAGACAATTCAAAAGGACTCATGATGAAAAATCCTATCCACCTCTAGAGAAAAAACTGATGGAGTCTGAATATAGACCAAAGCATACTATTTTCCTCTTTATTTTTTGTGGCTTTTTATCTGTGTTTTCTTTCACAACATGACTAATATGGAAATGTGTTTTGCATGATTGCACATGTATAACATGTTAAATTGCTTACCATCTCAAGGATGGACTAGAGGAGGGAGGGAAAGAGAAAATTTAGAGCTCAAAATTTTTAAAAACTTAAAAATTGGTTTTACATGTAATTGGGAAAAATAAAATATTTTAAAAAATCAACAACCAATTTGTTAGCTTTGGTTAGAGGGATAGGGACTGGAATAGAATTGTGATTTCATTGGCATAATGAAATCTTAGGTGAGGAAATTTCCTTCTCTGCAACTTAGAGTTTCAATTATGAAAATTTATTGGTACTATGCCATGCAAATGTACATTAATCCAAGAATATAGATGGGAAATTAAGATACTTTTACCACCTTGCCTCACCTTAGGTTTTTATCATCTTTAAGAACAATGGATATTTCCACCGCCCCCGAAGCATGGTCTCAAACCTGGATACATCTGTGGACTGGTCAGATTCCAAAGGTCAGGAGACACTAAGTTCTCAGGAATTTTTGCAGGAAAACTTAAAAAATATACAGGTTACCAAATGAGTTCATACTCAGAACATTCTCCCAACTGAACTCTTATACCAGTGATTCTTGAAATTTTTGGTCACAGGATCTTTATAAATACTCTTTTTTTTTTTTTTTTTTTGGTAACACAGTCCCAGGGTCACACAACTAGGAAGCATCAAGTGTTGGAGGCCAGATTTAAACTCAGGTCCTCCTGACTCCAGGGCTGGTGCTCTTATCTATTGTTCCACCTAGCTGCCCCAGGACCTAAATACTCTTAAAAATTACTAAGAACTCTGAAATGCTCTTGCTTATGGGATATATCTGTTGATATTTACCATATTAGAAATTAAAAAGGACAAATTTGAATCAGTTAATAATTAATTAATTAAAATAATAATAATCATGAACCTATTAAATGTTAATAAAACATTTAAAGCTAAAAACAACTATGAAGTGTCATTGTTTTTACTAACTGTGGAAAACTCTTTATCATCTGGCTTAATAGGACAAAGCTGGGTTCTCATGTCTGCTCTCCATTCAATCTGTTGCAATCTGATGTTTTCAGCTGAAGTATATAAAACAATATGAACTCACAATGATATATAGTTGGAAAAGGGAGGTATAGTTAAAGAGGCAAACAGAATTATTGTAATTAGGTAAATAGTTGTGACCTATGGAGACCCCCTAAAAGAGGGCTGGGGACTGAGAGGTACCTGATTGCGCAGTGAGTGGAGTTCTGGGGGATGGAGTCATTTAGAGCTCGTTTCAAATCCAGGCTCAGATACTTATTAGTTGTGTGACCCTGGGTAATTCATGTACTCCTTTTTTGCCTCAGTTTCCCCAACTGTAAAATAAGGGGTAACAATAGTACCTACTTCCCTGAGTTATTGTGAGGATCAATGAGATAATGATTGTAAGAAGCTTAACATAGTGCCTGGCCTATGGTAGGCATCGTATAATGCTTTTCCCCTCCCTCCCTTCTTTCAGAGGTCCTTGGACCACTGAGAACTTCTGGATTAAATGGTTTCTGAGGTTTCTTTTGTCTGTGGATTAATGCTCTATGGTCCCATGATATAGTTTACATGGAAGGCAATCCTAGATATATCCCTGTCTCTCCCCCAGAGGAATAATGGACAATATTTTCTGATTAGAACACAAGGCTGTGTCCAGCAGTCTCTGCTTCCCAACTCCCTTTAGCCAAATCATTTCCATGGGGAAGGAGAAAGGACAGAGAATGCTGGGTGGAAAGGACTTGTGTGACCAGTAAGAAGAGGAAGAGTCTCACTGGTTCTTCTTGGCCACAGGGAGAGGACAAGGGATGGCATCTTCCTCTTCTGGATGTTCTTCCTAAACAGACCCCCATGTCCCCAGCAGCTGCCATCCACCTAAAGTTGTCCTCTCAGACCAGACAGCTCCATTTCCATTTGCCTGAATGATGATGAAGTGCTAGGCCCATTTCTCCTTACCTTCACCCTCCCCTTTGCCCAGGTTCATTGGATACCTAGACATGGGATAGATGCATGTGGGAACAGGAAGCCTATGGTGTAACACAAGCTCTAGTGGTGATTCTAAGGGCCAAGGCTCTTCTTGAGGAGGGTCCCTAGGTCATCAGTGGGGTCAGAGCCCTGACCAGAGGAATTCCCCAGATGTAAGTGCTCTTACCTCTCTTGTATGAGGTCAGCATGTTTCCTCTTTCCACTCCTCCCACTTTCCCAACCTTAGTTTTGCCCACTCTCTGTTACTTCTTCTTTCCTCTCAGAGGCTCAGAATCAGACAGTGGAGAATCAGGACCAACACCCTCCTGCCATCCATCAGCCCAATGACAGCATGAAGAGACCACCTCCCATGTCTCCTGACTCTGGACCCACAGAGGCATGATGGCCCAGGCAGCCCCACTGCTACTGCTCCTGCCTTTGCTGTTAATGGGTATCTGGGGGTGGGGGAGGATAGGGAAGGGTAGAGGTGATGACTGACAGGGAGCAGAGAAGAGAGAGGAGA